GGCGACGGGGATCGTGAAGACTCCCACCATCATGTAGCGGCTCTTTGCCTCCTCCATATCCTTCCCCGGGCGGAATGGCCCGCACAAATCCAGGGAAAGCGTAAACGTGTCCGGTGCAGGAATGCGCCTGTGGGGCCGTGAACGACCAGCACCCTTCTGACACTCCGGGCACTCTCTGTTGAACGGCATGTGGTCCAGCGCCCGATGCCGGGCCCAATCATCGCTCGACATCTTCGACACCACCGGGTGCTCCAACTCCAGACGAAGACCCTCCACAATCTTCAGCTTGAAGGGCTCAGGCCATGCGGCCCAAGACCTGGTCTCCTTGACCTTCTGCTCCAGGGGGATGTTCATCACGTTCTTCCCCTCCACATTCGCCGCCGAAAGGCCATCCAGAAGGCCCAGGGCTTTGATGTTCGTGCCCAAGGTAGTGGGCTTGCGGCGTTCGTGGCCTAAGCCACCCAAGTCCAGCTTCACCTCCTTGATGTCGAACTTCTTCTTGAAGGAGGCCCATTCAGGCCAGGCGAAGAAGCTCGGGTAGTCGGTGCTGTCGGACTTCGCCTTGTACTCCTGAGGATCTCGAGGGTGTTCCTTCAGGAAGCGCACCTTCTCCTTCCTCGCTCCCTGAGCCAGGGAGAACAACCACAGCTGCCTAAACCACAGCGTCGCATCATTGAGGGCCAGCTCTCGATCCGCCTCACTGAGGCAGTCCAGGGCAAACCTCTCTGGCCCGTGCCGCGCTCTCAGAACCGGTGGGCCGGGTCGTTGATGCCGAAGCTTCGACACTGTACGGCAAGGGGGTCCACCAAGCAGGGCATCAACTGCACCTCCTTCGCATACCTCCGCCAAGAACCCTGCGACCTGGTCCAGCAACAAGTCCTGGCCGCTGCTCACCTCCCGATCCACGCACAGCATGACCCGGGATGAGGTCTCCATCATCTTCCTCCACCAGCTCTGATCCGGCCCAGAGAACAAGTGCACGATGACGGATGGGCTCGACAAAAACTTCTTCCTCTGCCTCCTATTCCAGGGCAGAGCCGCACCTTCCCATTGGCCGGAAGGCACAATCCTCACAATCATCTCATCCGAGAGGTCCGGCCACAACTCCTTGATGTCGACCATCCACCTCCAAACCTTGGAGTTGACCTCCCCCGGCTCCCCCGCCCTCAGGGCTTTGAGGCGCCTCTGCATTTCCGTTCCCTCCTTCTCCAGGCGCTCGATGAGCTCCGTTGCCACCTCCTGCGCCACTGTGGGACAGCCCAGCTCAAGCTCCACCGGGATCTCCACGCCCCGAGGATCTCTTAGCTCGAACTCCTCGTGCTGCCACAAGATCTTGTAGCCCAGGCGCGCAATCCTCCCGAGGGGAATGATCGTCTGGACCGGGTAGTCCGTCAGCAACGTGCCCGTGGCGGGGTCCTGCCTCAAGGTCACCTCACCCGCCGCCAACTCCACTTGGATGGGCACCGCATCCTGAAACTCCTCCATGGAGCGAGCCGACCGAAGGACATGAGTAGCCCCGCCATCAAGCAAAGCCCTCTCTCCACTGCCCTCCCGCATCGAACTGACCTTCACGGCCTTCGTCCGGGGTCTCAATGACCTGAGAAGCTGCACCGCCTCCTTCACCAGCTCTCCATTCACCTGTTCCGTAGGTGGAGCCGCCGAAGGCGAGGGCGACAAAATAGTGACCTTGGTCCCTTCCACTGCCACCTCCTCAAACTCGGACTTGTCCTTCTCCTTCACCGGAGAATTATCCTTCTTCACCTTGGGGTTCGTGACCTCCCTCACTGGGCAGTCCGGCTTCATGTGCTGACTGCTTCCACAGCGCCAGCATCGTCCAATCTTGCCTTCTTCCCCCCATTCATGAGCAAAGCCGCACGCCTGCCCTTTCTTGCAACCTGATTCCGAGAGGAAGTACCTGCAGGCCGCAGTGCTCTTCCCCTTGCCCTTGCCTTTGCCCTTCTCCCTGTCGGGCTCCCGAGGTTTGTAGTCCCGGTCGTAGGCCTTGGGCGTGTCCTTGACCTCCATGGTCTTGGCCTTCACAGCCTCCTTGATCGACGCCCCACCTCCGTGGTAGACCGTCTCTCCTTCCGCCTGCAGCGTGTCCGCAAACTGCAGGATTCCATGTGGCGATGGTGCCACGTCCACCCGTAGTGCTGCCCGAGCTATCTGCAGCCTGAACGACACCTGGGCAGAAATCTTTCCCAGGACCACCGCGAACTTGTCCAGAGTGGCCAAAAGAAGAACTGGATCAGGAGGCTGAATGCGTAGTTCCGTCACCCGCACTAGCCACCTTCGCCACGTCCTCAAAGAAGACAGCCATTCGCCGATGCCCGAGGGGATGCGCTGGTCAACCAGCTGCTTAAGCAGGGAACTCCTCTCGGCCAGGCTTCCAGGCTGGTAGGTCTTCAAGACCTTGAAGATGATAGAGATGCTGTCCGCCCTCCGCTGGGCAATCAGTTCACCTCGTAGAGATTCAGGCACCGCCTTCAGCAAGGCGACTTGGCCCCGCTGCTCAATGCGTAGCCAAGGTGCCCTCGAAAACGCTAAGGGCGCCTCCGGAAGAAGCCGAAGACGTTCTAGAGGATCCGCATTGAGCCACCGCTGGTAGCATTCATTCGCCACCCGAAGCACCTCCTGCCACCACGCAGACGAAGATGACGAGAGGTCGGACATGAAGGGCGAGATCATCATCATCCAATCTCCCGCCAGCAAAGGCCCCATGTCCTGCTCGGCTGTTGCGAGGTCCTGCAACTCCGGCAGCTCCACCGTTCTCACCGCCTCCTGACCTGCCATCACCCCGTTCAGCCATCCAGGAAGTTGACCGCCTCCTCCATGAAGACCGCCAAGAAGCCCTCCTCCATGACCATCTGGGGGACCGCCAGGTGGACCTCCAGGCCCACCACCAGGAGCACCTCCTCCAGGAAAATGACCACCCGGGAAACCGCCACCTCCGGGATGACCAGGAATCCCTCCACCGGAACCACCCTGACCTCCTCCAGGAAAATGACCACCCGGGAAACCACCACCTCCGGGATAGCCAGGAGGTCCACCTCCCATACCACCCGGAAATCCACCGGCTCCATTGCCGCCAGGACCGCCGTCATATCCCCCGCTACGGCTCCGTTGCCGCCAGGACCAGCACCACCGGCTCCATTGCCGTTCGGCCCAGCACCACCGGCTCCATTGCCGCTAGAACCAGCACCATGAGGAACATCTGAACCTTGCCCTTGTTGATGCCCAGGATGATGAGCGCGGGCGGAACCAAAGGCCTGTACATCCGGCTGTCCTTGATCACCAGCTCCATGCGGGTCATCGCCAGCGGCCTGTGGAGGCCATCCACGAACTCCACCTAGAAGGTCCAGAAGTGCCTTTTTGGCAGTCGACCCAATTCCAAGGCCAGGTGATGAAGTCGGTCCATCTCCACCCCAAGCCGGCAAGGCTGAAGAGCTCAGTGCCCCAGACCATGCCCACTGCGCCGGCGGCCTCAGCCCACCAAGCACCGGGTCCAGCAGCATCCGGGCCACTCATTGCGGCCCCGACCAACTTCTCCTTGAAGGAGGCCTGCATGGACTGGTAGTCCCGATCCTTGGTCTTCTGCATCTGGTTGATGTAGTGCCAAAGCCTGGCATTTTCCTCCACCACCCCCTTCACCAGCTCCGCGCCAGTGATCTCCCTGGGTGGGCTGGCCTGCACGGCCACCTGGGTATCTCCACCCTGGTCCTCCGGGAGCGTGCTCGGCCTCATGGCCTTCAGCATGGCTTCATCACATGCCCGCTGCGACCAGAAGGGATTCATCTGCGGCCCCAAGGCCTGAGGTGCACCTTCAGGGTGCTCCGCCTTCTCCTCCTGGGGAGCCACGAGAGCCAGCTGGAGGTCCTTGTCTGAAGGCGTCTGCATCGAGCCTTCACTCATGGCGTTGGGCTCATAACCCTCGAACCCGCGAAGACGCAGTGGGGCTCTTTTTCTCTTGATCAACAAAAGGCTTCATGTGCACAAAGTGAAAAGAGCGACATGCTTAGAACCTCACTTGCAAGCGCATTTATTCTTATTGAGAGCTGCCTCAATCAGTTCCAGTGCTACGAAAGTTCTTAACGTCATTTGGCGAGAAGGCGAAGCCGCCCAAGTTTCGCAAACAAAAAGCCAGGGCTTGCGCCCCAATTTGCAAGGCCGTCTGAGGTCCGGGGAACGCCCTAGACGAGATATGTTCAAAGACAAAAGTTCCGCGGCACTGGAGCGCAACCGAGTTAGCTGTCTGTAAGAATGCACGCACAAGCGCGTGATCTTTTGAGAATATACGCACTGCGCGTGAGCTTTGAAAACGCTGGACAGCGCCAAAACTGGGAAATAGAAGCTGGCTAAAAAGCGTGGCAATGCGTGAATTCGGCTCTTCTGCATGTGCCGACATTGCGCAACCCACCCCCCTCAAAGACTCGTGGTCTTTTACGATTTGCACCTCGCTCGACGTGACCCTCTGCGGACTTTCGACAGGTCGATTTCGAACATCTCGATGTTGCTTTGAATGTTGTTCAGCTTGCACAACCAGCAAAATATGAACCCTCTGCGGACTTTCGGTGGCTGGCCTTCAAAATATCATCGCTTTGTTTACATTTGTCACTCCTTTGTTTGGACTGGGCAGAGAAAGAATGTGAGAGCGAAGCAAGAGAAATCGAGAAAAATAAAGACGGAAAAAACACAAGAGAAAGAGACATAACAAAGCAAAAGAAAGAGAAAGACAAAGGAAATGAAAGAGACAAACAGAGACAGACAACGAGAAAGAGAAAGAGCAAGATACAGAGGAAGAGGACAAACAGAAAGAACGAGAAAGAGAAAGAAAGAGAAAGAGAAAGAGAAAGAAAGAGCGAGAAGGGGAACAAAAGTTGAACCCTCCGTCCCCCAGCTCCGCCGGCTTTGCCGGTAAGCTGTTTCAAAATGGGCCAGAAAGAAGAACAGGTATCCACAATTGCATCCAAACGGCTGGGTTTTCCACCAATTCTTGCCAGGTGCAGTGCGTGGAGAAGCGAAGTGGGGAGATTACGCTGCACTTGAAGACGTTTGCTGACAACATTGCTTGGGACCTGCTTCCCTGCACGGCGAGGAATACCAGGTTTTTGAAGCTCAGCCCGGAGTGGTTTTTTTGAGGATATGTTATAACATCGTTTAGTTGCATGAAGCACTCATGGACCAGAAGGTGATTTTTTGCGGCAAAAGCCGAGGTAGTCCTTGCCAGCTGTGTTCTTGGGTTTTGGGGAAACCACCAGGAAATTAGCCATTGTAATAGCGCCTTCGTCTGTTACTTGCCGAACACTTGCCATGGAAAACAGAAAAGCTGATGATCGATCCTTCTCTTCTCCCAGTTCTTTCTTGTTTTGCGCGCCTTGGTCCCATTTGGAGCTTGGTTGCTCAGGGGTTGGAAGCTGGCGTGTTTGTTTTTCGTTTTGAAGCTGCGCTCTGTGTTGAAGCTGCAAGGGAAGAACCCCATCACGAGCAACCATTGAGGGTGTGTCTTTTGTTTGAGGGTCGTTCTGATTTCAATTTGAGACATGTGAGGAACACCTCCTTCGTGGTTGAGGCCCTTGAAATATCTTGGCCCACCACGCCTCAGCGCACTCTGCCTTTGTCGTGGGAGGCAGTTGAAAACAAACACTGCCGGGAGTTTTGATCTAAGAGGGAGCTGGGTTTAAATATTTAGATGCGGGCATGTGTTTTGAGAGTACCCTTTTTGGGGTTCGTTTGAAGGTACACCGCTATTTCGCGGGCCCTCTGTTTCGAAAACCCATATCACATCAAAACCATTGGTGGCCAATTTCGGCATCAATTTGACCTGCCTTAGGCACATGCGGCGTGCCACCCAAGTCCGGGAGCCGTCTCTAAACCCCAACCTCTACCATCTCCATTCCCGAACCTCCAACTCCTCTAACCTCTTTTCTACCTGAGCACCGCCAAAAACCTTATGAAAGGAGTTAATTGCGGGCCTCTCCCAACGAAGCCTTGCGAAAGCTAAAGCGCAGGGCGCGAAAGCCCACGAAAGCTTGCGCCGAAAGTTGTTGAAGAAGAGACCGCCGCGCAAGCGTCGCGAAAGTGATCAATACAAAACGCATGCCCGCGAAAGTGAAAGAAGCATCGTGAAAGGTTTGGCGAAAGTGGTTTGTTAGTAGAGGGTTTTATGTACCCTATCTTTTGGGCCTGCGGACTCGAGCCGGCTACGCCTCTTTGAAGGCACAGTGATCAGCGATGCATTATACTAAGTCCATGATATGTTTGGTTAGATTATGCATCTTGCCCACTCCCACCATCAACATATCCCAGATGATGCTGGGATGCCAGCTTTCTGAGCCCCGCACCGAGTCAAATCACATGGGGCCGTGCGCGGACGCCCCAGAATGACCATCCGAAAAGAGCAGCCAGCCCGGAAACACAAACGTAAGAACACACTGTAACTAACAGCCACGAGCCAGCCACAGCAGAAGCAAAGCAAACAGAGCACCAGCCCAGTGCGCAGCATACCATTTTTGACAGTGTTTACGGCATTTTGTAGGGCAAGGAACCAGCATCGCCGGCATTCCCGGCAGCTTGGCCCCAAAATGCGTGAAAATGAGCCTCGCTTATATCCCTCCGATACCTTCTAAAAAACAGTGCTTCATGGGTTGAGAGGCTTTTTCGAAGGAAGTCTTGATGATGCAGACCAAGCCCCGCTGAAGCATCACCCAGGCCCAACCCCAGACCCTGGCGACGTCAGCCACATGGCCTAAACCCTGCATATACGCGATGTTTTGCAAGGGTTTCCCACAGGCAGGCAAAACCGCAAGCCCGAGCTGGTGATGCAGAGGTGCCGGATTTAGGCAACGCATCACGATGAGGGTCAGCGGCACGGGTGCAGCCCCATAGCTAAAGCTAGCAGGCAAATTGCCTAGTCGCAACATGCTACCACGAGGCGTAGCTGGATTTGCCCTAGCTTTAGCTGCGCCCCCGTGCCGCCGGGAGGCGTAGCGGGCGCAGAACCGGCTGCGGCAGCATCGTGACTTGCAAGGACAGCTGAGCAGGCAGCGGCGGCGGCGGCGGCGGCGGCGGCGGCAACAACAACAACAACAACAACAACAACAACAACAACAACAACAGCAACAGCAACAGCAACAGCAACAGCAACAGCAACAGCAACAGCAACAGCAACAACAACAACAACAGCAACAACAACAACAACAACAACAACAACAACAACAACAACAACAACAACAACAACAACAACAACAACAACAGCAACAGCAACAGCAACAGCAACAGCAACAGCAACAGCAACAGCAACAGCAACAGCAACAGCAACAGCAACAGCAACAGCAACAGCAACAACAACAACAACAACAACAACAACAACAACAACAACAACAACAACAACAACAACAACAGCAACCTTAACATCCCCCCCCCATTCCATCCACACAACCCGTCATGTCCACGCGCGCGGGCACGCACACATGCACACACATGCGGGCAGGCACGCACGCT